TTACTGTTGTGTTGACAGTTTAGCTCCCTATTTACTGTTAATGACAGTGTATTATTATTATTATAATAAAAAAGAAGCGCTAAGCCACAAGGGTTATACAGCGCTGCAGGGTAGGGAAGGAAGCGAGGGTATTGGATGGCAGAAGGGAGGAGGGATGATCAGTAGGTTACAGAAAACAGCGGGCAGGGGATAGTACGGGGGTAGAGGGCAGCAAGAGATTGAAGTAGAAAGGGCTGAAGGTATCAGAATTTGTGAAGTAAGTCAGTTGTTGTCAAAAAGTCAATGAGAGAGTCCGGATGAAAGGTGGGTCCATCAGCGTAATGACAGTGTAGCTCCCTGTTTACTATTGTGTTATTGACTATAGTTCCCTATTGTTGTTATTGACTGTAGTTCCATATTTACTGTTGTGTTATTGACACTGTAGCTCCCTGTTTACTGTTATTGACACTGTAGTTCCCTGTTTACTGCTGACAGTGTAGCTCCCCATATACTGTTGAGAGTGTAGCTCTCTATTTACTGTTGTGTTGAGAGTGTAGATCCCTATTTACTGTTGTGTTGAGTGTGTAGCTCCCTATTTACTGTTGTGTTGAGAGTGTAGCTCCCTATTTACTGTTGTGTTGCGAGTGTAGCTCCCTATTTACTGTTGTGTTGAGTGTGTAGCTCCCTATTTACTGTTGTGTTGAGAGTGGCTCCCTATTTACTGTTGTGTTGAGAGTGTAGCTCCCTGTTTACTGTTGTGTAATTCCCTATTTATGTTATTGGTATAGCTTCCTATTTACTGATGTTGACAGTGTAGCTCCCTGTTTACTGTTGTTATTGACAGTGTAATTCCCTATTTATGTTATTGGTATAGCTTCCTATTTACAGATGTTGACAATGTAGCTCCCTGTTTACTGTTGTGTTATTGACAGTAGCTCCTTGTTTACTGCTAGTGTTATTGACCGTGAACTGCCCTATTAACTGGTTATATATGTCATGCTGGTTATTTTTTGTTCTATTTTATTTATATATAAAATTATGTAGGTATCTGCATGTTGCATTGGAATATATGTAGCTGATAACCTTATGGAGAAAACATGTGGATGGGATTGTTTATTTAGGAAAAAATGCCTCAGTGTTGTAAATAAATTTATTTTTTTCATCAGGACAGTAGCTGCATCGCTGTTGTGGCCCGTATGAGTTTAACACTTATTTTCTATAATAATACTACTAATAATAATAATAGTGATGATGACTTGAAAAAATAGCTAGGGTAAAGGTGTGCGATTTTGGTACTTGATAGAAAATTGTAAGCATAATGTGTGTTAAAAATATAATTGATAAATTTTGAACAGTGAATAGGCTGTCAGGTGAATTTGGTAATTTCTATACAACCTTAGAAAACTTACCTAACATATTATAACAAGCGCAAGTTAATTTAGCCTAATCCAACTAAATATATTGCTCGTGAGGCTAGTACACCAAAGGGCAGTAGAATGAAATTAGCTCAGAGGCACCCACACCACTGTATGTCCTCTGATCAAGGTGAAACATCTAGCTCTGCTGGGTCCTTGATTCTTGTAGGATTGCGTGGTCTCGTGGGTTAGTGTCAAAGTGTGATTTTCGCTCACCATGGGGGTGGGCCAAAACGACAATATAATATATATATATATATATATATATATATATATATATATATATATTTTTATATATATTATATATATATATATATATATATATATATTATACTGTATATGCAGTTAAGATCACAATAAACAGGTGATATCACAATATGTAGAATAAACACTGTGAAAAAATGGCGAAATTCCAAAATCACGAAAGCGCTTGTAATTTCGCTATTCAGAGAGGGGGGGTATGAAAATGTGTTATGTCTGCCTTCTTGTGAGGCTCTCTAGGAAGGATTGTCGACACCATCCCCCAAGACTCACGTTCTCAGTCTCATAAGTGCCTTGTACAACACTTAGGAGTAAAACCTTTAAACTGTAGTAAATGTAAATTACAAATTACCTAATCGTTGGCCATGGACACGCTTATCAACTGTTAACTATCCCTGATTTCCTCACCCAGTATTGTGGCCACGTGACTAGGGGGGTTAAATACAGTAACAGTATCGGGTCTGGCGCAGAGCCTTATCCACAAATTCTTTGGGAGGCCTCTGAAGCACATGATTCACTACCAGGTAACACTGGGAATCAGTGTGAAACTAAAGAGATAGAAACTTGTAAGGAGGTGCTGTCAACTCCTTGTCCAAAAGATGGCTACCAGCGTCCCTCTACCCCACTAGTTCATTGGAGGACCGCTAGGTGTCTCTACGTATCTATTTTTCCCTACTCATTTCTAATATAAATATATTAAGTCTAAAACTACATATTTTACTTCTATTATTAGTTCTTAATTCTACCTAAAACCTGTAATCTATCAAATTAGTGTAAACATATCAATAATAATGTGCTGACTGATGACTTCCACTACATATTTTTGTCGGTGTGAATTCTAAAGGCCTCTACTGTACTTCTTGTTACAATGGCCCTTTGGGATTTCTTGATCTCAAATCCTCACAATGGCCCTTTGGGATTTCTTGATCTCAATAAATCCTCACAGGGGGCCTCTGTTAGGCAATATTCTGCAATCATGAGAATGGGGATATACGTAATTGTATATATAGGTATTTGTCTATTGTATATAGTAAAATTTACCTGAATTTTGTATCTGGTTAACGATTTTCATTAAAAAATGAATGTGGAAAAATTTCTAATTGTAAATAGAGATATAGTAATAAAAATTTGAGTTATGCTTTGCGTGATGAAACCATCACATGGGCTGGAAGGATTTTTAAGACCATCATAACTCCTGTGAGAGGAGAGACCTGATGAAAGTTGCCTAGTGTAGATATGTGTTTGGTTGACTGCTGAGCTTTGATGTATTTTGGCATTTCAGAGATGAAGGAAAGTTTTGTCTTTGAGGAGTTCATCTCTCTACTTATAGTTCCTCTCGTTTTATACTGACAGCTCTTCAGTCTCCTTTCTGCCCTCCATCTTCAGAGGGTGAAGAGGACCTTTACCTCTGGTAAGCCTGCCGTTCAAAAGCCGGCCTGGTGGCAACATTTGGCATGTTTCCTTAAGACACCTGCTGTCCCTGTTCATGTAGCAGTAAGTAGGTATCTGGGTGTTGACTCTTGTGGGTGGCATTCTGGGGGACAAGATTGAAGGACCCTAATGGAAATAAGAGTCCTCGATGACGCATTGGCTTTCTTGGGTTATCCTGGGTGGCTAACTTTCCTGGTTAAAAATCCGAACAAAATCTTATCTCATTCTGGCCTTGTAGTGAGCTTCTCGTGATCCACCAGACCCTTCACTATGTTCTCTTCCATATTTCTCGTCAACCAGTGGTTGAGGCCGGGTCTCCCTGGAACCAGACATGGGCCCTGGGAAACAGTCTTGTTTCTCTTCCTCCTGACTGTGTCCCCAATTCAACATACCAGCTTTGATAGCACAAGATAATGGTGCTGGTGTTGTCAAAGGAATTAAAGGGACAGAATACAACAGTGTGCCATTTTTGCTACATACACTACAACTGGTTATCCATGATTGTACTCTGGAGCAGAGAGTAATAAAAGACATCATTGCTATCTGTAGTTGAACCACTAGAAAAAAAAAAGATCTCAAAGAAGATCACTCTTCTAGCTTGCAGTAAACTAGAGGATCTTCAAGAACAAAATGAATAACCAAATCACAAGCTCATTCAGAATGTACTAACCCGTTGGGTATAGAACTTATTTTATCACATCCGTGAACACAAAAAAGGTGCAGTGTATTAGATAACACAACACACCTTCCACATTTGATGAAAACAAGTGGAATCTTATTGCCGAGTATGTTGAGAATATTTCACAAAATAACTACCGTCTTTGTGAAAGAAATTGTCTAGTCTCAGAAATACTGCCTAAAGTACCAAGTTTCGAGTGATACAAGATTATCAGGTTTGAGTAGCACACTACCAGCTTTCAAAATGTCACTGTAAACTAGGTACAAGAACTAACACCACTGACTACTATACGATATTCCTTATATTTTTGAATCCCTGATATATGAATAACAGTGGATGAATCACAAGACAAATTTTGACAATATTGAGAATGAAGTGAAATCCACACGAGAACTGAGCAGCTCAAGAACTTGTGCAATGATGTTACTGTCTGAAGAAGGAAATCCACTAAGAGTGATGGAGAGAAAATCTGATAGTACTTCCATCTTCAGCAAATCTAGCCAGCAAATGTCAGAGTTCACCATCCTCTTCGATAGAATGAAATGTTCAGCATTCGAATGAACATTTACTCTCCTCGTAGGAACAGATTAACCTTGGAAAATGGGGAGATGTTGATGCTCTTCAACTTCAATTTGAGAATTTTTAATTTTAGCTATTAAGAGTAATGTAATTATATTTATTTTTTTTAATTTCAGCTACTATAGTAATATATGTTTTTCTATTTGTTCAGTGTTCCATCATAGTTAAAACATTAATCTCTACAATGTATAATAAAAATGTACCAGTTAATTTAGTTTAATACTGGAGCGAGTTTTTCTTTTAACATGCAGGCCATCTCCTTCTGAGGCAGAACGACCCGAAAAAGATCCACTTTCATCACCATCAGAGGTCCACAGTTATGACAGTTCAGATGTCCCTCCATGCAGCAGATATCCCCACCCTTCCTTTAGAGTGCAGGCACTGTGCTTCCCACCTCCAGGACTCAAGTCTGACTAACCAATTTACCTGAACCCTTCACTAAATGTTACCTTACTCACACCCCAGCAGTTCGTCAGGTCCCAAAAACCATTTGCCTCCACTCTTATCTAACATGCTCATACATATATACATGTATCTATTTATTTATCTATCACTTGACATTACCTGAACAAATATGCAATTCATCTCTTTTCAACAGTTACATATACCATATTACCTTACTGAAAACTTTGATTGAACTTTATTTTTTTTGCCAGTGCTGCATTATCAACAGTGGCAGCGGAGGAGCGCAAGGTGGCAGGGGAAGAGCGGCGAGGACAGCGCCTGGAGCAGGACCTGGCTGCTACCATCCTCGCCAAAGATGCTGCTAACAAGGAGATCAGGTCAGGAAAAAAGGTACTCCTTTGTTTTAAATGGGGTGGAAAATCTAACTCAGGTAAGCCAGCAAATGTCTATGGGTACATAGCACTAGCAAGCTAGTGGTTGCCTAAACACTGATACCCAGCACTGGTATGACAGCAGTGGCTTAATCACTGAGTATTCTGACTAAGACCCATATTTGGAAGTACTTTCATGTTTCCTGATGAACACACACAATGAACAGGTTAGGTTCACCTGTTTGGAAAATACATTTCTTTGGTGTTATTTTAATACCAGTTTCCTCATAATTTCATTCATCTAATCACTTGCATATAAGAAATTTGTTGTGTTGATATAATTTATGAAAGGGTCACATGTATCATCTTCTCACAAATAACTGCTTATTGGTGTAATATACATCAGCGTAATATGTATTATACATCTATTTTCACACAGTTTATCAATCCAGTGCCATGCAGTTTATCTATTCAGTGTCCTACATTATCAAATAGTTTTATCCGGTGCCATGTTTCGTCTATCATTTCTGATATAGTTCATCTCTTCAGATTCATATACAGTATGTACTTTATCCAGTGACATACACCTCATCCAGTACATATATGCTTCACTCAGATAGTGTCTTTCCAGACGTCTGCAGATGGAGTTGTCAAGCATGACTCAGGATTACAAGAACCTACAAGGAGAGCTCAGCAAGTGTCAGGTATCAAAGGACAATTTCAAGAAGAAAGCACAGGAGTACTGTCTCACCTTAGAGGAACTGACAAATATTCTGTCCACCAAGGTCAGTTATAGCTCACTGTTGTATATTCAGTGACCTTTAAAAGTTTGGCTGAAGTATCTCAAGTAGGCTGTGACTCCAATAGTCTGACTGGTCAGGGATGAGGTCACAAATAGTGGCTGCAAGATGAAGCCTCTGCTATTAATTGCAGTGATTGACACAAAGTGGTTTATCAATTCGTTAGCTACAACAATATTAAGTCAGGCTTGCAATTGTTGGCTTTAATTCAGCATTCACAAGTTGCAACAATTACACAACAAACTTAATTATTTATATTATTGTCTTCACTATCATTAACATGAGTTTATTTTTTTCTGTGGAATTTACAGACTAAGAGCGGTTATCCTACCTCAGGTACTTTTCTCCCTCCTTCCTTCAGTATGCAACCCACAACAGCAGGTACTTAGTCACTTCTAGGTGAATGATCAGCAGATATACGATGACTTGCCTATCCAATTTATCCAGCTTGAGAATCAAACCCATGTTCTTTCAGTTAAAAGTTGAACACTGTGCTGCTGCAGTATTTTGAGGTGTGTGACACCTCTCTGCTTGGAACTCCAATTCCACTACTGTAGGATGATCTCAGAAGAGTGATGAAAGAACTGCAGTGTTGTGAGCAAGAACTCTTTCATTGGATGTCCTAATCCTCGGGACAGAAATGCCCTCATAGCTAACGAGATAAATGCATTCAGGAAATCTACAAATGATACGATACCATAAATTTGTAGTGTTTCTGTGAGCACATAGATGTTGATTTACAGTGATGGTACATTACTGTATGTAGATTTAATCAAGGATAATCCATTAAAATTAATGTGGCTTATTTCCATTGGGGCATCATTTGCTACTATGTGAATGATATATACAGTACCACATTGTATTAATAATACAAAATTGCTGTATTTCTCCTGATTTAATACTTTCTTACTAAATAATGATTATGATATTGATGATATAGGCACACAAAACTATAAAAAATATACATTTCTCCTTGTTTTAGATTTTAATACTGGTATATAAATTACATTATTATTTTCTTAATTTCTGCCAAATGCTGTGGTCACCTTACCTTGGTAGTACAGTTTGAGTGCCTAACTAAAAGACCCTAGAAACCCATATTTTGGACTAAATACTTAGAACATTTTCCTATTATTGTTTGGACTGTGACTGATGGTCTTGAACAGTAGTTGTTTTGATTATATAATATGGTTATGACATCTGAAATGTGACAGTAAATTAGTCACAATGGTAACAAATTAGTATTTGAGATAAACTGTTCAGATAGTTGACAAATGATAACAATGGTATTGCACTGTGGGTAGTAGGTTGGTAGAATTTTTATCAGCAGTGCAGTATAGCAGACAGTATGACCAATTTTTCCTATTAAAGCATACAATTTCCTTCTACATACTATTCATTAATTTCCACCTGATCTGACACCCTGCACAAATATAATATTTGTTCCTCTTTACATTAGGTTAGGTTAGCATATATTAGTCTATATTTACATCAGTTAACCAATGATGGTGAAATGACAGGCAACTTCCATCTGGCAGTGCAAGGCATTTTGTAATCCCTTGAAACATTAGAATAGTGTTCCTAGGGCTCATTAAACAAAAAAAGAAAGTTGGAAGATAGGCTGGTCAGACAGTCTGGTCACTTATTCTTACCACTGGCTCTGTTTCTATATAGTGATGTTAATATAATGTCTCAGTAGTAAATTGACAACATTGATTCTTTAGCTTTCCAAATTATTTCTATACTTATATATTAATGAAAAAGGTATGTCTTAGGGATACAGTATAAGTATGCTCAAGGTGCTATATAATTAATACTGAAGTGATGGAAATAGTATATGCCCCACTGTATGAACTATGTGAGAGATAAGCAAGATGTATATGCACAAAGATATGTAAGTGATCAAAGACAATCTCCTCTCTCTCTCTCTCCCCCAGCATCCTAGATATATACCATAGCATTATGTAAGTCATGCCAAGAAATGACATCTACACTGATAACAGTTTTTGGCATAAAGAGAATCAATTTGATTTTTTATTATGTTAAAAAAATAATTTCAAATTTGATTATAAATATCAACAGATTTGATTTTAATTACTTCTTGATTTACAGGATTCTGAGCAGTCATTGTTGAAGAAGCAATACTTGAACCTAAACGAAGCAGTGTCATCACTCAAGTCTCTTAACGCCTCACTGGAGGAGAGTATCACAACGCGAGAGCAGGAGATGACCAAAGTGGAAGCAATGATGGCCAAGTTTAAGGAGGAGAGAGAACAGCTTATTAGTCAGGTTGATCTTTATTGTTTTTAAATATTATATGTTACAGTAGTAGGATGGTAAACAGTAGCCACCCAGGGAGGTGCTACCATCCTGTCATGTGTGTGAAATGGAAGCCTGTTAGTGTTTTGTACTCTGGCATGTTTGTTCTTTTCTTTGTTTCATGAATGTGGATAAATCTTATAAACTTCATTTTACTTCAGCATACACCATATACACGTGAATGCATATATGTATGTATTTGTGCCAGTGTACATGCAGTACACACTTTGTTTTACTGTATCTGTATTTCTCGATACAATAGACCGCCATTAGGACAGGATATGTTTTGAAAATTGGTGTTTAATCTCATTTAGTGCTAACTAATCTGAAGAACATATGGGACTAATAGTTATGTTCTACACATTTCCCAAAAGAACTAAGCAAGTTTTCTTTAATATTGTGAAAAAGTGACAATTTTTTTTTACATTGTTGTTGCTGTTGCCTATTGATTTGTAAGTTCATGGAGAAGGTTGATAGTATAGTTGTGTTGACGTGGATAATGTAGAATTGTCAGTAGTTGATGGTTGTACTGACGTGGTCAAGTATTCTGTAATGCTTCTGTGCTCCGTTTTTCGCAGTCAGACAGTACATTATGCAGGTAACAATAAGGCATCACTTGCTCCGGACCCTGATTCACAGCAGTGTTTCAAAACATACTGAGTCCTTTTCGGTGAAAAAAAAAAAATCTGCCAAATACTGTATACACTTTTGTGAAGGGTCTCTTTCCTTCTCATTCACAGTTTTATAAAAGATAGGGCATTGTGCTGTATTATCTGAAAACGAAGCCAGGACCCTTTCCTTTTATCTTATCAATCCACATATTTAACTCTTCTACCTTAATTTAGTTGTATTGACCTCTGTCATTCTTTTCGTTGTGTATTAATCATTGCACGATATCTTTTTTTTTTTATTCCTTCTGACTGTATGAATGAATAATTCACCTATACCAAAAGGAGTGTGCTGCCTTTATGACACCTGAACTGCCCACAGGCATATCTAGAACCTCTATTTTCTTAGATATCATCAGCATTTCATGTCTAGTCGTCATCTTGGATTCAGTGGAGACGTTATACATGGAAGCAAAGGGGAGAATATATGAGAATATAGTGGTACCAACAATCTTATATGGGTGTGAAGCTTGAGTGGTGAATGCTGCAACAAGAACAAGGCTCGAGGCAATGGAGATGTTGTGTCTGAGTGCAGTGTGTAGTGTGAAAATTTTGCAGAGAATCCATAGCTTGGAGATTAAAAATAGGTGCGGAATTTTTAAATGTACGTATTATCCAAATGTCTGAGGAGAGGTTGTTCAGGTGGTTCAGACATTTAGAGAGGATGGAACAAAATAGAATGACTTGGAAGGCATATAAATCTGTAGTGGAAGGAAGATGGGGTAGGGGTCATCCTAGGAAAAGTTGGAGGGAAGGGGTAAAGGAGGTTTTGTGTGTAAGGGAGCTTAGACATCCAGCAAGCATGTGTGAGCGTGTTAGATTGGAATGAGTGGAGGCAAATGGTTTTTATGGGTTGACATGCTGTTGGAGTGTGAGCAAAGTAACATTTATGAAGGGATTCAGGGTAACCAGTTAGCCAGACTTGAGTTCTGGAGATGGGAAGTACAGTGCCTGTACTCTGAAGGAGGGATGGAAATATGTTGCATTGTTGAACTGTAGTGTAGGCACACCTCTGGCAAGACAGTGATGGAGTGAGTAATGATGAAAGTGTTTCTTCTTCTTTGGGTCACCATATCTCAGTGGGGAAACAGCCAATGTGTTAATAAAAAAGAAGAAAAAATCATCTTGGCACCTCTAGCATCACTACCACACCTAACACCACTTCCAGAAGGCAACTAATGATATGGGCTGAGGGAAGGAGGTGTAGTGTCTCTGCTGAACAAAACCCTTACTGAACTCTCCTGCAGACCCAGTGGGGTAGATGGGAAATAATCTATGGCAGGCACTACTATGGCTTCTCATCTAGATTGATCCTTTCCTGCTTTTTGATGTGAAATACTGATTCTTTTTCAATACTATATTTTTTCCACTACAATTTCTCATCTGTGCTAAGTATTGTGCAGTTTAATTACACTATAATTGACAATCTACAGTACATACAGAGTTTGTAGAAAAACTACATAGATGATAATGGTAGATCAACACCTTATATATGATGTGTATAGGTCAGATCCTATACATGGTACATTTTGGTCAAAAGTATGGCCCAATGAGTTTAGTACTTTTTTTTTTTTTTTTAACAAGTCGGCCGTCTCCCACCGAGGCAGGGTGACCCAAAAAAGAAAGAAAATCCCCCCCCCCCCCCAAAAAAAATACTTTCATCATCATTCAACACTTTCACCTCACTCACACATAATCACTGTTTTTGCAGAGGTGCTCGGAACACAACAGCTTAGAAGCACATACCTATAAATATACACAACATATCCCTCCAAACTGCTAATATCCCGAACCCCTCCTTTAGAGTGCAGGCACTGTATACTTCCCATTTCCTGGACTCAAGTCCAGCTATATAAAAATAACCGGTTTCCCTGAATCCCTTCACTAAATATTACCCTGCTCACACTCCAACAGATCGTCAGGTCCCAAATACCATTCGTCTCCATTCACTCCTATCTAACATGCTCACGCATGCTTGCTGGAAGTCCAAGCCCCTCACTCACAAAACCTCCTTTACCCCCTCCCTCCAACCTTTTCGAGGATGACCCCTACCCCGCCTTCTTTCCCCTACAGATTTATATGCTCTCCATGTCATTCTACTTTGATCCATTCTCTCTAAATGACCAAACCACCTCAACAACCCCTCTTCAGCCCTCTGACTAATGCTTTTATTAACTCCACACCTTCTCCTAATTTCCACACTCCGAATTTTCTGCATAATATTTACACCACACATTGCCCTTAGACAGGACATCTCCACTGCCTCCAACCGCCTCCTCGCTGCTGCATTCACAACCCAAGCTTCACACCCATATAAGAATGTTGGTACTACTATACTTTCATACATTCCATTCTTTGCCTCCATAGATAACGTTTTTTGGTCTCCACATATACCTCAATGCACCACTCACCTTTTTTCCCTCATCAGTTCTATGATTAACCTCATCCTTCATAAATCCATCCACCAACACGTCAACTCCCAAGTATCTGAAAACATTCACTTCTTCCATACTCCTCCTCCCCAATTTGATATCCAATTTTTCTTATCTAAATCATTTGATACCCTCATCACCTTACTCTTTTCTATGTTCACTTTCAACTTTCTACCTTTACACACACTCCCAAACTCATCCACTAACCTTTGCAATTTTTCTTTAAGAATCTCCCATGAGCACAGTATCATCAGCAAAAAGCAACTGTGTCAATTCCCATTTTGTATTTGATTCCTCACAATTTAATCCCACCCCTCTCCCAAACGCCCTAGCATTTACTTCTTTTACAACCCCATCTATAAATATATTAAACAACCATGGTGACATTACACATCCCTGTCTAAGACCTACTTTTACTGGGAAGTAGTCTCCCTCTCTTCTACACACCCTAACCTGAGACTATCGTATGCCTTTTCTAAATCCATAAATGCAATGAAAACTTCCCTACCTTTATCTAAATACTGTACTTATAATAATAGGACTCGATCCTAATTTTTTTTTACTGTTTCTCTTTGATTTGCTGAACATCTGCCTTTATATAAAGATCTTGTTATTTCATGTGGCAGATGCGAATTTTAATGAAATGCCATCCAGTTTATTGTACTATAATTGACTGATGACCTTGTTTCAAATACAGAAAAACATAACATCTATCCATGATTTATATCAGATGATATACCCTTGCATGCTGACTTCCTTGTTGATTGTATGATCAACAAGGCTATTGCTGCTAGTGGCCCACAGGTCTACATAGTAATCACAGCCTGACTAGCCCAGTTTCCTCTTGAAAACTTTTATATACCACCTTTGGCATTTTCAGATGATGGAGGCAAGTCAAAAGTGTGATGAACTAGAGGACTCGTGCAGGAAGTTAGAAGAGGACAAGTATAATGTTGAGAAAGAGTTGCTCACCACCCGTGACTTGGCACAAAAGCTGGAGATGAAGAGAAGTCAGGGTGAAGGAGAGGTGGCCAGGCTCACCACTAGCCTGGAGAAGGTAATGCAACCCTGTCAGTAAATTCTGAATGGTAACGCTTCAGAGGGGTGCCTTGATGTTGCTGAAGGGCTTATGATCTGAAGAATTGAAGTGACCCTCTTCTTCTTTTGATGAAACCTGATTACCCCAGGCACTATTTGACCCCTATGAGTTTCGTGCTTCCCATGAATGTAATTTATCATTATTATAAAAATGTGTTAAACTGTACGGGTCGTGCAGTACTGCCTGTAATATCATTTTATTAACTTATTATACATAATTAAATTTACAGGTATTGGAACAGAAGCGGTCTCTAGAGCAGAGGTTAGATGCAGCTACCAGTCAGCTCAACAGTGAGCGGTCTACTGTCAGATCCATGGAAGAGGTACTTAATGAGAAGCGTCGAGCAGAATGGTCATCAGAGGCCACTAACAAGCAGTTGGAAGTAGAAAAACACCAACTGCAAAGAAAGGTCAGTGTGACTTGCTCTTTATAACTAGGGTACTCACCACACTGGCTGCTTCTGAAAATATATTTTGTGAGTGGAGTTCTGGAGGTGGGAGGTACAGTGCCTGCATTCTGAAGGATGATCATTTCAGAGGATCATTTTAATTGTGATGTCAGTGCATTTCTGTCAGAACAGTTATTTAATGAATGATTGTGAATGTGTTTCCTTCTGTGAGTTACCATGACTTGGTGGGAAATATACAGTGGGAAAAATAAAAATGAATCATGAATACAGCCTCTCCTCACTTAACGACGGAGCTCCGTTCCTAAGACCACGTCGTTTAGTTTAGTTTAATATGTTTATTTTTATTATTTTTTTTTTCAACAAACTGCCCGTATCCCACCAAGGCAGGGTGGCCCAAAAAAAGAAAAACAAAAGTTTCTCTTTTTAAATTTAGTAAATTATACAGGAGAAGGGGTTACTAGCCCCTTGCTCCCGGCATAATATGTTTATTATGCACCCCATATCCAGTCTGTGGGCGGTAGTCAAAAGATTACAGAGGTACATAATGGGTCTAGGGACTGGACCCCAAAGTTATGATAGCTGAACTAGTTACAAAGATATTGAACTCCAGGTAGATCTGGTCACAATCATAGCAAGTTACAAAGGTAATGAATCATCTACACTCCTATACATGGTTACAATCATGAAGAAATTACAAAGTACATAATGAGCCACTGACACATCCACGCCAGGTCAAATTGTAATGAGTTATAAATACAGATATTAAGTGGGTCATACACCCACCACGTCGGTTAACAAATTCGTCGCTAAGCAAGGCGCATACTATAATGGTAGTAGGTTTGTGTCAGTCATCGTTGATATTGTATTAATGTCACCTTTGCACCATTTATAACATTTTTAGTATATTTTTAAATGTTTGTACAGTAGTGTACTGTGTATTTTAATAAACAGAATAGAGGAAATCAGCTCTAATATGCATTGTTTAGGTATGCATACTGGTCAGAGAGCCCGTTGTAAGTCTGAGTTGTCAGTAAACAAGTACATCACTAAGTGAGGAGAGGCTGTATTTATATTGATAAATTAGACACATGTGCAACTCTTAGGTATCTTTATTGAGGAAACATTTTGCCACACAGTGGCTTCATCAGTCCATACAAAGGAGAATGGTGAATAACAGGAAGAGTTTGAAGTAATCAGTCCCTCAGCCTTGATTAGATGTGGTCAGTCCATCAATCTTCTTTTCAAGATTGATGGACTGACCACATTGACTCAAGGCTGAGGGACTGATTACCTCAAACTCCTCCTGTTATTCACCATTCCCTTTTGTATGGACTGATGAAGCCACTGTGTGGCAAAACGTTTCCTCAAAGATACCCAAGAGTTGCACGTGTGTCTAATTTATCAACGTGTCGGTTCTCTCAATCATTCATCTACAATGCTGTATTTACAGTTTCATGGAGGGATCAGTCAGTACATACAGTTTCTTTCATGGCCACAGTGAGTGACAAAAGAATAGAATTTTTTCAAAGTTATACACACGTGAGTGAGCATGTTAGAGAGGAACAAATGGAGACAAATGATTTTTTAGGACTTGACATGCTGTTGGAGTGTAAGCAATGTAATATTTATGAAGGGATTCAGGGAAACTGGCAGGCCAGACTTGATTCCTGGAGATGGGAAGTACAGTGCCAGCACTCTGAAGGATTGGTGTTAATGTTGCAGTTTTATAATTGTGTTAGTGCACCTCTGGCAAGACAGTGATGGAGTGAATGATGGTAGTTTTTCTTTTTTTGGGCCACCCTGCCTTGGTGGGAAACGACCGATGTGTTAATAAAAAAAAAAAGAAAATAAATGCTAAACTATGTATAGAGGCTCCCCTACACACAAACATTCATTTTGCGACCTTTCAATAATATGAACAATTTGTGGGAAGCACTGAGATGCAAATAAGGCAAAGTAGGTTATTCTAGTGGCATTCATGCATGTGTTTGTGCTCCCTCCACAGATTCAGTGTTATTTGTGATTATTATACCCCCAATATGTCTGGTGTTAAGCACAAAAGCAGTGGTGATGCAGGTGATAGTACTAAGAAGTGCCAGGCCATCACAATTGAAACAAAAGTGGACATTTTGTATTTTTCCTGTGTTCATGTATATGTTTAAACTATGTACACTTCTAGGTTACTCAATGTTCATACATACATATACCACACTACTGTATACATACATATGTTGGACTTACGAATGACTGCTCAGAACCGAACCTGTTCGTAAGTAGAGGAGAGACTGTAATACTGATGAATATTTTTTTTTTTACCTTGATGACCATCTCCCACCAAGGCTGGATGACCCTAAGAAAGAAACACATTCAACATCATCATTCATTCAGTTAAAAATTAATGCTGCATAACATTATTTTTTGTGCCCAGAATACTGGTAATTGTTTTCTTTTTTAGTCTTTACATGCTGCATCACTCACCGGCCTTGTAACACTCACTGTAGATGAAGTAAAACTAATGTTTAATATTGACAGCAGTTTGATCATGAGTGATGCCTTTCAACGCTGAATGTAACTACCCTGGTTTGTGTTCGTACAGTTTTTATTATTATACATAAGATAAAACACCAGTTTTATCTGTGCTGTACAGTTATACTTGTCTACAAATTTTGAACACTTTTGTGCTTCAGAGATCAGAAATAAAGTATTTCACTTTATGATTTCTGGGGTATCATAATAACAACCAATTGGCTATAGGAAACTATATTTTTAAACAATTATACATTGTGGGTTGCAGTCAAGAGCCTATCCCCTGTACAGTTTATTTACCCTCCTCCCCTTCCCGGTCAAAGATAACAGAAACTGGTCTGAGTTCATATCTTTACAGAGACAATTTGAAATTTTAAGCATCATTTCCATATTCAGTAACTCAAAATTAGTAAAGAACTACTAGTTTTATTTCTGAAGTATTTTTGCTCAGTCCAGTGTATTATTGGTGTGTGTAGCCACTTATGTTAAATATTTCCAGGAGAATAAAAATTGTATTGGCTTAGAGTGAGTGTTGTATCATATCAGTGGTTTCTTGTACAGCTTTAGCTTTATAAAAGCCAGAGGCTACCAATAGCAATGCTGTATAGTATCCAATTCCTTGCCAAAAAATAATTGCTGCTCCTTTTAGCATTTGCACAGTTGAAGACTTTATAATGCACTGGCCTTTTAAAACTCACCTTAACTGAGGTTTTTATTTATTTTTTTTTTTTTTCAACAAGTCGGTCGTCTCCCACCGAGGCAGGGTGACCCAAAAAAGAAAGAAAATCCCCAAAAAGAAAATACTTTCATCATCATTCAACACTTTCACCACACTCACACATTATCACTGCTTTTGCAGAGGTGCTCAGAATACAACAGTTTAGAAGCATATACGTATAAAGATACACAACATATCCCTCCAAACTGCCAATATCCCAAACCCCTCCTTTAAAGTGCAGGCATTGTACTTCCCATTTCCAGGACTCAAGTCCGACTATATGAAAATAACCGGTTTCCCTGAATCCCTTCACTAAATATTACCCTGCTCACACTCCAACAGATCGTCAGGTCCCAAGTATCATTCGTCTCCATTCACTCCTATCTAACATGCTCATGCATGCTTGCTGGAAGTCCAAGCCCCTTGCCCACAAAACCTCCTTTACCCCCTCTTTCCAACCCTTTCGAGGACAACCCCTACCCCTCTAGATTTATATGCTTTCCATGTCATTCTACTTTGATCCATTCTCTCTAAATGACCAAACCACCTCAACAACCCCTCTTCTGCCCTCTGACTAATGCTTTTATTAACTCCACACCTTCTCCTAATTTCCACACTCCGAATTTTCTGCATAATATTTACACCACACATTGCCCTTAGACAGGACATCTCCACTGCCTCCAACCGTCTCCTCGCTGCTGCATTTACCACCCAAGCTTCACATCCATATAAGAGTGTTGGTACTACTATACTTTCATACATTCCCTTCTTTGCCTCCATAGATAACGTTTTTTGACTCCACATATACCTCAACGCACCACTCACCTTTTTTCCCTCATCAATTCTATGATTAACCTCATCCTTCATAAATCCATCCGCCGACACGTCAACTCCCAAGTATCTGAAAACATTCACTTCTTCCATACTCCTCCTCCCCAATTTGATATCCAATTTTTCTTTATCTAAATCATTTGATACCCTCATCACCTTACTCTTTTCTATGTTCACTTTCAACTTTCTACCTTTACACACATTCTCAAACTCATCCACTAACCTTTGCAGTTTTTCTTTAGAATCTCCCATAAGCACAGTATCATCAGCAAAAAGTAACTGTGTCAATTCCCATTTTGAATTTGATTCCCCATAATTTAATCCCACCCCTCTCCCGAACACCCTAGTATTTACTTCTTTTACAACCCCATCTATAAATATATTAAACAACCATGGTGACATACACATCCCTGTCTAAGACCTACTTTTACCAGGAAGTATTCTCCCTCTCTTCTACACACCCTAACCTGAGCCTCACTATCCTCATAAAAGCTCTTTACAGCATTCCATACACCTATTCCATATACTTGCAACATCTGCCACATTGCTCCTCTATCCACTATCATATGCCTTTTCTAAATCCATAAATGCAATAAAAACTTCCCTACCTTTATCTAAATACTGTTCACATATATGCTTCAATGTAAACACTTGATCTACACATCCCCTACCCACTCTGAAGCCTCATTGCTCATCCACAATTCTACATTCTGTCTTACCTCTAATTCTTTCAATTATAACCCTACCGTATACTTTTCCTGGTATACTCAGTAAACTTATTCCTCTATAATTTTTACAATCTCTTTTGTCCCCTTTCCCTTTATATAAAGGGACTGTACATGCTCTCTGCCAATCCCTAGGTACCTTCCCCTCTTTCATACATTTATTAAACAAAAGTACCAACCACTCCAACACTATATCCTCCCCTGCTTTTAACATTTCTGTCATGATCCCATCAGTTCCAGCTGCTTTACCCCCTTTCATTCTACGTAATGCCTCATATATTGATAGTAATTTAATAGTGACAGTATACAAGTGCTACACGTGACTACTCTGGGTTTTACACAATGTGTGGTTTTCAGTAAGTGTTCACCTATGATGAACACTTATTGAGGTGTGTAACCACCTTTATTAAATACAGTGGACCCCCGCATAACGATCACCTCCGAATGCGACCAATTATGTAAGTGTATTTATGTAAGTGCGTTTGCACGTGTATGTTTGGGGGTCTGAAATGGACTAATCTACTTCACAATATTCCTTATGGGAACAAATTCGGTCAGTACTGGCACCTGAACATACTTCTGGAGTGAAAAAATATTGTTAACCGGGGGTCCACTGTACTGTGTTTCCAGCAAAATTTACGTGCATCTTGGCTGTATGATGGTGATTTATAACCGACCAAAAGACAATCATATTAACTGCAGCTTGCTTGACTCTTCAGTGTAGCCAAATGGCTGTGACATTGACTGATGTTGGTTCAAATAAATCAGGCTTTCATGCACACATGAAAACAAATACTGACATCTTTGCTGTCTGCAAGAGCACGGTGCCTTACTAATATTTCACTACCTACCTGGTAGGTTTAAACTCTTACTTAAATTTACAATACTAGTATGGCTTACACTGCCTAAATCTGCTTGCTAGCTGCAGCCTCCATAGGTTTTGCATCACTCAGAAATAATACTAATGCATCTCTCTGAATAATATGGTGAACTAGCTTTGCTTTAATTTCAGAACTATATGAAAAGTTATAAAAAATTACTTAATTTCAGATCTCAGAGCTTCAAGAGCAACTAGAAGATGAAGTAAACGAGTCCAAAAGATTTCGGACCAGAGCAGCACAACTGGAGAGTGATGTAGAACGGATGCGTCGTGAATTAACTGACGAGAGATTTGAGAGAGAACGAACATCACAGGAGTTACGGCGGGTACAAAAATTCCAAAACATTAGTCGTGCATTAGATACTCTTGATACTGGACCCCAGGCCACCAAAGAGGGTTCAAGACCCCTGGTCAGGGTATCGCCACCTGATCCACACACCAGTCCTGTCTCCTCAAAGTTGCCCAGTAGATCAGAATCTCCACTCCCCTCAGCGTCACAAACAGAGGCCCAGTTAGAGAGGCGTCGTAGTTTTAGTAAAGCGCACGCTACTCATATCCACAGTTCCTCCTCTGACACAGGACTGGAGAGGAGTCAGGCTAGATCCAGCAGTACAGATTCTCACAAGGAACCTTGGAGACTTGCCTTTGGAAGCAGAACTTCACAATTTGCATGGCAAAGTGCCAGCCAAGAATCCATCCACCAGTCACCAGTTACATACAGGCGAGCAGCTGATGAAAGCCCTCCATCTAGAGTAGAGTCCCCTACTAGGATAGGAAGTTCCTCTTTGCCCCAGGAACCTAAAGCTCCAGCCATAGCCACACAGTCTCAGGCTGAGAGAACATCCCCACATTCTCACTCTTCTGAGAGTGCACAGGATGTGGCCAGTGTGCGGCCAAAAGATACAAGTTCCAGGCTAAGTAAGCAAGGAGCCAAAATTGGAGACTCTAATAGTTGGGGCTAAGGTGTTGTGTCTCAGTTCTTGCTAGTTTTGTAGCGATTGTGATATCTCCCATTATGGTATTTTACATATATTAACACTAGTTTTGTAGTGGTTGTCATGTATCATTATGATACTTTTCAGGCATTAGGTCTCACTATTTGCACTAGTATGCTTAATATCAGACATACACTTGTGTATATTGTAGTGTAAAAGCAAGTATGTATGCAGTTATATTAGTTTTGTAGAGGGTTGCAGCTGAGTATAGTAGTTAGTTGCTGTTGAAGGAATAATTTTTCTATTTTTCTAATATGAGATATTTTTCAAAATATAAATCACATTGTTTAATCTAAAGCAAAATGTTTCAATATATCTGTGATGTGTCTTTGACTGTGTTAACCATGTGCCTGTAAATACTAAGTTATGAATGATATTAAAATATTGATTTGTGAATTAGTTCCCTTCATAATATGAAATCCTAACATTATTTGCAACAGCTCTTAGCTTGTAAATTCAGCTTTGTAATACGTATAAAAAAAAACTTTGTTTTAGTTGGAGATACTCTTCCCTTTCTTGGATCAAACCTTTCTGCCATCTGTTCCCAAGGCATTGTACAACCCATATAGGTTTAGCACTTCCCTATGGTTATAATAATGTTTTTATTGCTGTTAATTTGTCTTGCAATAATCAAAATTTATGACTATTAACATTTTTGTTAGTTTAGCTACCTATAACTTTTAGCAGCAGCATATGAAGCAATGTTAAATTCTCATACCTCACTGGGTGTTAAAAAACATCAACATTTTGCAGCACTACTATTATGCTGTTGCATATTTGTGTTTGCTCTGTATTTATATTTGCTGGAAGTTATAGAAGTCAAAAATATTATTTTTATTGTATTTCACTATTGTTCTTGTTGGGGGTACTTAATAGAAAGATGTGCATAGATTATAAAAAAAAGGTATTTATAGAAAGGTTAACATATACTATATCCTATCTCATCTGTGACTTCTGGATAGAATATAGAACCATGTAAAGTGACTTAACTATCACCTGGACCCACCCTGAGCAGATCTGTCATTTCACAAGAGCTTTAACACCAGAGGGTGGTAAATGGAAAGCCCCCCAAAAGGGCCCCAGTGTTATAAAGGTGGGTTCACTTTTGGCTAAATAAGCAGACACAAGAAGACATTCTCTTCCACAAAATGGGCACAAGAAATGTCTACACTTGGCTTCCCCTTTCAAGAGTACACTTTTTCTATAGTTTCAGGTTATGATAAGATTTATTTGGATTTTTAAACTTGGGGGTTAGCCCCCCAGGATAACCCAAGAGTGCAGTGTGTCAAAGGACAAACTTATTTCCAGGGGGGGCCTTATATTGTCCCCCGGATATGACCCCCAACAGTTGACTAACCCCCAGGTCCCTACTTCTGCTCGTGAACGGGACGTAGGTGAAAGGAAATTCCTATCATTTCCACCCTTGACACAGAAACTGTGTGAAAGGGCAAGTGCGGCCAAAACCAAGCCATGAAATGCCTTCAGCATTTGACTTGATTATAATAATAATGAAGATCATCACTATCTGTTATCATTCCTAGAGTGATTCATTATTGGAACATGTTTGAACAGTATACAGATGTTACTGAAATGAAGTCAGTGGACTAAATGACACATCTGGCCCACAGCTTGTCCCAGCTTCATGTTCCCTGTGTGTGTTTTACAAGAAAGATAATGCTAGTGAAGGCTTTGAAATGAGTTGAGGTAGGTAACAGCTCTAAGGCTAAGAATTCTTACTTTTATTTATAGGCTAAATAAAACCCTGAGTAAAAAAAAAGTCACATGAATTCTGCAGGGGGAAACATTAGCACTTTTGGAATCACTAATAAAATTTTTATAATCCCTAATTTAGTGCATCCCAAAAATTTAAAAAAATTATATAAAATCACAGCAAAGAATGGAGGAACATTACAGAAGGCCTACTGGCCAATATTTTGCAGGTCCTCAAATCAAACCTTATACCAAATATTTGTCCAACCTATTCTTAATTTAATACGAGATTTGGGAAGTCAATGCATGCGTTGCAATATTTAACCCCCCTTCAGGGCCAAGGCCAAAATCTGAAGGGTGCCCTTTTAAAGGGGGGGCCCCTTTTGGCGTGGTGAAGGGGCTCTTGGTTGAGGAATTAGACCTGCTTTACTTTCCTCAACCAAACCCAAATTACCCCCCAATCCCCCGTTCCCTATCCCTCCCCCCTTTTTTCCCCTTTCCTTTTTTTTTCCTTTTTTTTTTCCACAGGCCCTGTTCCTATAGGGAAAGGGTACCGGGGTCCCCCATTCCTTTTAGGTTCTTGGGTGGCGTGTTTGCCGGGAATCGGATTGCCGGGGGTTTCCTGATCCCTCCCCGGTATCCCGGGGGGTGTTTTGGGGTGTCTCTCCGAGGGGTGAAAATCTAGAACCACCTTTGGGTTTTCCGGGGGGGTGGTGGCCGAAGGGGTATGCTTTGTGGGGGATTTCCGGCCCCGCCCTCTCTTTTGTCCCCGGGGTGTCGGCAGTTTGGAGGTTGCTACCCGGATTGCCGGGTTTAAACGGCATGATGGGTAGGGTAGGGACGGGTTCCATGCTGCATCTGCCTACTTGCGGTGCTGAGGTCCTCTTGGGCGCGGGGGGGAGATTTCGGGCCCCTTTTTCATTCCTCTGGGAACTACCCTCCCCGCCCCCCCCTTTTTTTTTTTTTTTTTTTTTTTTTTTTTTTTCTTTTTTTTTTTTCCCTTAAAAACAAAAAGAAAGAATAACCAAACCCAGGGCACCCCTATCCATGAACTGCTACCCCGGGCCCCTTCTTGATACCGCCCCCTTTTTCCCCCCCCGCCCTCGTTTTTGGACCACTCTTCGGACATTCCTCATGCCTTGTACCTCTTCCCGGTGCGTTTCCCTCACCCGCTTCGGGTACGGGGCCCTCGACTGATCCTTCATTTATCTGCCCTTCGCTCTCCTCGCTATGTTTCCGCCTCTCCCTCTACGGTGCGGGCAATTTTCGAATGCCGGCCCGTTCCACGTGGGACCAACTCTGGTCCCACCCCTAAACGAAAAAATTCCCTGCGATGATACTTCTCCCCCTTCTCGTTTTCCAGAAAAGATCGACACGTCCTTCACTACCTTTCCACGCTCTTTCAGACGCAAAAGGGACCAAATTCTTCATTTACGACCGACTTCCTTTGCCTATTTTTGACCCAGTTTGGCAAGGCCTCCTACGCCATTTTGGGGTAAAAAATTTTTTTTTTTCATCTCTTAAGAGCGTAGCCATTTTTACCGAACAGAATGCTACCAGGCTATAGCTTTCTCGTTTTTCCCATATAATACTTTCCTTAACTATAAAAGCATCTTTCCCCCAAATTTCTTGTAGTGTACCGTCATTTGCCCCCCATACCTAGTTCAACAAAATTTCCAGACATGTGGCACTGCATTCTTGAACGTGGAACCCCAAGATCTCCAATCCCAAAGGGTGACCTTACGTTCTTCCTGCCGCGGGGGGAGAATACCCAGCAATGGGGCTCGTTTAACTTTTGACAGCCGTAACCCCATCCCGTTTATGTAGCAGGAATCGGTTAAAAGTTGAAAGGTGATCCCTACAACGAAAACAGTGAAATTGCGGGCGATTTGGATCCGGGGGAAATATTGCAGATCTATCGCCGAATCCCCAGTCTTGGTGCCATGACCATTCAATACGTCTTGCAATCGCCCCCCCTCTTCCTTAATTGTCATGAGGCTCACCCTTCGTACTCCCCCCGCCGTTGTCAAGTCTATTTAAAACGGCGGAAATCCGTTACCCCCAAAGAGGAGAAGGTCTCCCTTATGCCATGCATTTCTCTTTTTCCCCGCCCCAAAGGAACTACCTCGGTTTTTTTTTTCCCGTGTTTAAAAACGTCCCCCACTCCCGGTATCCCACTTTTGCCCCACCTCTGTGTTTCCTCCCCATAGTCACTCCTGTGCTAATTCTTTTGCTGTCCTCGCTCTGACGTCCCTACTTTTAAACGTCTCAGTTTATCTTTTTTTCATTTCTCTCTCACAAGCCTCAATAGCGACGAGATCTCGTATACCCCCCTCCCCCCAATGTCCCTCTACTTCTCAAAAGTCAAAAAAAGGGCCGTTTAAAACCCCAAAAACCCCTCTTCCACCTCCTCTTTTCCCTTCCCTTCTCTGTACCTGGTTCTCCCCCCCCTTTCCCCCTTTCTTTTCACCCCCTCCTTCTTACTTCCTCCCCTTTCCCTCCTTTCTTCCTTTCCCACCTCCCATTTTTTCTTTTCCCCTTCCCACCTTTCCATTCCCCACCCCCCCCCCTACCTTTCATCCTTAAAAATCCCCGTCTTTTACTCACCCCCCCTCCTTTTAAAGTTCCTCCTCTTTTTCTGAAAAACCCAAAAATCTCTGTTTTGGGCCCCATCTAGCCTTTCCCCCCTCCGTCCCCCTCCCCTTACTCCTCGCGCAATCCTTTTTTTTCCCCACCCCTTTCCCCTGACTTTTACTGCATGGGATTTTGGGGTTTTCAACCCCTCTACCAGGGAAACCCTTCCCGGTTTTCTCCCTTTATCATTGCCCAACACCTTTTACAGGGCAAAAGCGGCCTCTTCCTGCTTAATTTACTCTCCCCCAGTTTTCCCCTTTGGGGTTTGCCCTTTCCCGGAACCCAAATTTTCACCTCTGTTTTACTTCACCAGGGGATAATTTATTTGTATCTCAAAACCCTTTTCCTGGGGGTTTAAGAAACCCCTTTTTACCCGTATCCCCATCGCTATTTTTGTACCCTCTTCAAACCCTTTTCTGGTGGAAAATCTTTTTTAAATTTCCCCTTCCCGGGGATTATCTACCATAGCCTTTTTTGTTTCGTCATTAAAACCCCCACCGATTCTGTACTTGGGGTTTTTAAAATCCCCCCATTTCCTCTGGGGGGTCCTCTTGTTTCCCTCATTCGTTTGGGGTTTTT